AGAGAGACTGCAGGGAGGCATTCCATTTGAGATAGTAGAAAAAACCGACAGGGTCGAGAGCATCAACAAAATGACAGCAAGGCTGGGGTGAGGAGGTGGATTTCAGAGAGCTCGCAGAGGTGGGATGTGAAAGAACTTGGCAGTTGTTTGGATGTGGGAGGAGAAGTCATCTAAGAGCTTTGCAGCCTTATCTACGGGGTGAAGTTTGTTCTTTAGAATAGAAATAGGAAATGAGAGGGAGGGTCAGGCTCTCTTGAGAGGAATAAGAATTTAAGATGTAAGTCTGGGCATAGTCCACTTGAAGTGGTGGTGGGACACATACATTAGGTATTAAACAAACACCTTAATATACATGTATCTCAAAGCATAAATGAGCTATTTTTTTAAAGGTTTATTTATTTATTATGTATACAGTGTTCTGCCTGCATGCGTGCCTGCAGGCCAGACGAGGGCACCAGATCTCATTACAGATGGCCGTGAGCCACCATGTGGTTGCTGGGAATTGAACTCAGGACTTCTGGAAGAACAGTCAGTGCTCTTAACCTCCAAGTCATCTCTCCAGCTCTGCATAAATGAGTTATAAGCAAGAATAAAATATGATGGAAGAACAACAACAACAAAAAAAAGGGTATAGAAGAAAGAAAAGACACAGAGACATGGAGAATCCTTGAGAGGGAGAAGAACATACTTTTGTTATTCTTGCCTGCTATCTACAGCAGCTAAGATTATAACAAGTCACCTTTGGACCATGAAATGATTGATGTTAAGAACGGGAGTCACTCATCAAGGTAGAGAGAACACTGTGATTGAGCATGGTTTGCTCTGAGAGCCATGCACAAGTAGGACCGTGTGCCTTTAAATGCCACGAAACTAGTCTGTGGACTCAGACTGGCTTTGAAACCACCTCTAACATTCAGTAATATGTGACGTACTGGCCAATATATTTAATGGCTGTGAGCTTCAGTATGGAATGAAGAAATGAATAGAATTTTGCCCATTTGTGTGGCAGAAACGAGTTCTTCCTGGCAATGCTCGTACACTGCTTGGCCCACAGCAGATGCTCTGGAAGAAGTGAGAAGAGGACAAACAATTTCTAAAATGCAGTTTCTGAAGTGTAGAGCAGTAAAATTTTATATTAAACAAAACATGTAAAATATATTTTGTAATCTTTGAAACACTAATCATCATTTGAAACTTTATCACTTACTGTGTGACCTCCGGCAACACTGACTGGGCTTATTTAGCTTAGTGTAACTTAAAATAATTTATTATTATTATTTACAAAAAAGCAAAACAATGGAAAACTAAAGTCACAATGAGTTGAGGAATTTAGTTTTAAGCCTGATGTGGTGGCATAAGTCTGCAATCTCTGGACGTGGAAGACTGAGAGAGAAGTGTTTAAAGTTGAGGCCAGCCTTGACTACACTTCAAGACCAAGCCTCAAAATCAAAACAAAACAAATCAACAAAAAGATGAAATTATTTTCAAAATCATTTTGGCGTATTACATTATAAGGTATTCTGTGGCTATTTAAGGCAGAATTCCCAGCTTTCATTTGACTCTTGATAGAGCATACTAGTTACTTAATCATCAAACTGTTATAAAGAAAAATTGTAGCTCTTCACTGCATAGTTGCACTGCATAATTTGATAAATAATCAAACTGATTTTCTGAAGTTTGCTATTAGCAAAATTCTGTTTTGGTTTTTAAATTTAAAAAGTATTCTTTTAAATCTTATGTTTATGAGTGTTTTTCCTACAATTTTGTCTGTATACCATAGGCGTGCCTGGGGCTCATGGAGGCTTAGAAGCAGGACATGATCCCCTAGAACTGGAGGTACCGGTGGCTGTGAGCCTCCATGTGGGTACTGCGATTCTTAAGAACAGCCAGTGCTTTTAACTGCTGAGCTATCTCTGATGTTCCTGCCTTTTGTTTTTTTGAGAAGGGTCTCACTATGTAGTCCTGGTTGACCTGGAACTCACAAAAGTCAACCTCTGTCTCCTGAGACCTGGGACTGAACGTGCTTGACACCATAGCTGCACAAAGTTTCATTAATAATTTTATTCTGGAAGGACCTAGTGGGTAGAAAGAGAAGGGACATAAATTCTGAGGTCAGATATACTTTAGTTCAAATAGCTGCTACTAATACTGTGGAAACAGTGAACTAGAGTGTTGCTAATTAGCATTAAACGTCTTTGTTTTAGGCACTATGAAATGATAGGCCCAAATATTTGTTTTGTGCTTATGGATAATTATAATTAACATGTTTTTTAAAGAGTAGCACACTCAACCTGGAGTGTTCAAGAAACATCATAATGAGAGATTATAAAAAAAATACTTTTCTTATCTAAAAGTATTTTTCCAGTCCTCAAATACTGCGCCATGGTTACTCAGCCATGAAAAGAAACTTTTGGCTGGGAAAAACACAGAGAAGACCAGTCATAGTAATCAAGGAAACATATTTCTATGTTAAAAACTAAGACTTATTAGAATGCAGAATTCTTGGAGATCAAGTATTACAAAATTATTATGGGTCTAGAAGTTCTGCTATTGATCACTCATCCCTCTGAAGACCCTGAAGGAAGGCCATTCACCTAGGAGACAGACCAGGGAAATAAACAGTGTATACCAAGCTAGTACTGCACAACAGAGTCCTTTTTACAGGTTTGTGAGAGAGCTTGAGGGGCTGCCACCCCCAGGAATTTATCTAAATTAGGTTAGGCTCAATGTTCAAAAGCTTTGAACACAGAGTTCAAAGTCAGACAGACAGGAAGCAGAAAAAGGGCTACCACATCTCTTCCTAATCTAGCCCAAATCTATTCAAGAACGGGGTAAATTTACGTCATTAAAGACAAGAGCCGAAGAAAGATAAGACTGTACCCCATTGTTTACAGAAACTATGGCCTTGTGAATCATCTCTCAGAAAGATGCTTAACTACCAGGTCCCTGAAATGACCCTTCTTTTCCCAAGACTCTGAGTAAGGCCACAAAGAAAGCAGGCTGAGAAGAGAACATCAAGGGCTATCTAGAGAGTAACTGATTCCCCCTCATGCATCATGGGAATAGTGGCCAACTAGGTTATCTTCAGAGGAAACCTGCCTTTCGCACATAGGCTCATTCAGCAATTCCTTGGCATGGTGGTCATACAAGGACACAGCAAACTAGGAAGCCAGTGAAATCATTGTTTTTGCAATGTTTGACTTACGATGTCCCTTTCTGGTGTTAATTTGGGGCAAAAAAAGTGCTGTGAACACAAATACTCTTGGTGCAGCTGGCCACCACTGCACAGAGCCCCTCTCTGCAGTTGGTGGAAAAGGAACACTTAGCTGAGGAAGAGAGGTGCTGTGTGCTGTGATATGATCCTTTGTACACTCACTGTGAGTATGGTTAGTCTCTCCCGTTAGTATCCCTGCGGTAGATTTCAATAACTTCTTATCTGATTTACTGCCTGTGTATTCTCCTCAGTTTCTGGCTAAGTGACAAGCTACCCCACTGCTCCAGCACAATCAGGCTGAGGATGCTGCACTCTGCTATGAACTTACTGTCTGGGTTGACACACTGGTTTGAGTCATCAGGAGCAAATGATGCACGAGGACTGTCCAACAGGAGGTTAAAGGAAACACCACCTTTCACGATGCAGATTTTCCTCCTTTCATCTGTGACTCCTACTACTATGTCATGGTAAATTCATTCTAGATCTTCCGATTGAGATCTTGCTGTAGACTGGATTATGAGGCTAACATAACATTGAGAGAACTACTACAGGTTTATAAGAATGTAGGAAGCACTAAAGTCAATGAGAAAGTTTAACAATTCATTACAAAGAAGGTTCTCAAATAGTCTGTGTATCTTGCTTGCCACTTCTTGGATCATTCATGTCCTTCCCAACTAGAGAACACCCAGGGACGCGAACTTTAGTTATATTTGTATCCTTGTTAACTTAGGAGAGTAAGAGAATTATATACTTGCCAATAGCACTTTTCACGTAAGTAAATGTTTGATAGAAGACAGGAGACTGATCTTTAGGAAACACACACTTTTGTGGAGAGCACTGTAGCGGAGATGGTGCAATTAATCCAGTCTATAATGTACAGAAGTAAGTTGTAAGCAAAGTACTACAGAATTTAAAAGTTAAAATTTGTATTAGGGACAGACTATGGAAAGACACTGGGACAAACTAAGGCATGGACTGCCTAAACCTTTGAGGATGCTAAAAAGCTGTCGAAGTTTCTTAATGGAAAAACAGCCAAACTGATACTGATACTTTCCGTATGTATTTTGCAAAAGCCAGGCTCCTGTTGCTGAAGGTTAAGAGGCTCAACGAGAGTTGAGCTTCTTCAGTGCCTTCACTGTACAGCAATGCTGCCGTTTTTTAGGTACCCAACACCAGAAGCATTCTCAGGCCCTGCACTTGCCTTGCTTCAGTTGGTGAACTTTCCCTTTTCCCTTGCTGTTGTCACCCCCAAGCCTCCTCGCTTCCTTTACAAGTTTTGATTGCAGGCAGGTTACGATTGGGGCTGACTTTTTCCTTGGATGCATGTGTAGCAGCCGTGAAGGGCGACCTTGCTGACCCCAAGCCCTGTTTCAGGTTCCCGACCTTTCCTATTTTTTTTCCGCCCTGAGTCTTTCCAGTCACCAATATTTATAGGGAAGAACAACTAAAGGTTTAATTAATTCCCCTCCTTCTAACGCCTTTCTAGGACTTTCCTGCGCAGTGAAAGTAGGAAGAGACCTCGCAGACGAGCAAAGACTGAGAGACAGGTGCAGCGTCTCCCGGCTCAGCGCAGAGCCTACGGGGAGGGAAGCCAGGCGGGCTCGGGGGCTCCGAGCGCTCGGCCGGAAACGCTCCCAGAGCGGGGCCGGAAACGCACCTTCCTGTCAGACTCCCGCCCGCCTTCCCGCTTCGAAGGCTTCCGGGAGGCGAGGAGTAGGCGGAGCCAGAACCGGAAGCTCTCACACTAAGTCGCTTCCCTAGAGTGGCGCTCTCTTACTGAGTGGAAGTGGCCCCGGCCGGGCGGCGGGAGCCCTGACCGCTGTCGGCGCCGGAGGACCCGGGGGAGAGCACGCGGCTCGCACGCTCGCTCCCGGGCTACCCTGAGCCTCAGCTCCCTCCGTGCCCGCCTAGGCTCCCCCCGAGCCCCGCCCCTCATCGCCATGTACGATCGTGCTCCCCGCTGGCTCAGGTTGGCCAATGGTGGCAGCACTGAGGAGCACGTGGGGCCTGGGTCCTACCAGGTACCGTTCCCTAAGCCGCGGGCCACAGGTAAGATGCCAAGGCCAGCTTCCTGCGACAGGCGTCCTGCCTGCAGCCTGCCCCTGGGAGTTAAACACATGCCAAAAGACTGCTCTTCAGACGTGTAACAAAGCACAAAGTAGGCAGGGAAAACACTAGAGCTAGGGTTTTGATTCCTTGGCTCGGTTGACTATATAAAATCCGTCTTCTGCCCTCTGTAGGCTTATGGTTGTCACACACCTTAATCAAATTTATTTACTACCATATAACTTTCTCACATTGCTAATTTGTATTATCACTTAACAGATAGTCTCATCTCCTGTCACCCCACAGTGACATCATCCCCATCTCCCCCACTTCATACCCCCACTTCATACTTACTGAGAACCTCTTTCTACATTTTATGAAAAGTTTTATTCTTGAGATCTGGCCTAGGGACTGATAAGTAGTTATTTGGTTTCTCTTCTAATTATTTTTCAGTTCACGAATTGGGCTTAACTTGTAATAAATATTTCTAATTGACTTTCTGCTTTTAAAAATTTAATACCATATAAATACCAGTATTTTCTTTTTTAAACCTGCATTTTCAATAGATATAAAATGCCATTTTTTTCCCTTAATAGCCCAGGAGTTTCTGTTTACATCCATGCTCAGATTATGGTTGGTTTAAATTTCTCTGGATATGGTAAAATTAGTCATCTGTATTTCAGATCCCAAATTTTACTGCTTTTTTTGCATCTGTCCTCGATATTTACAGGACATATGCCAAATACAGTTGAGCTGGGGACACCTGTGATGCTTTTATTGCCTTTATTTTGATACAGGTGGCCACTTTCTTCGTTGCTTTCTGCTGGTTCTTTTTCTGTTAAGTACCAATGGTTCAATGCTGAACAAAGGAATTACTTTTTTTCTTTCCTACCAATTATGCCTAGTTTTATTTTATTTTTTTAAGTATTTATTTGTTTATTTATTATGTATACAGTATTCTGTCTATGTGTCTGCCTGCAGGCCAGAAGAGGGCATCAGATCTCATTTCAGATGGTTGTGAACCACCATGTGGTTGCTGGGAATTGAATTCAGGACCTTTGGAAGAGCAGGCAATGCTCTTAACCGCTGAGTCATCTCTCCAGCCCTTATGCCTAGTTTTAAAAGATACTGTACTTTCCATCTTTTTCTTGTTGTTTTGCTCATTGTACTTTCTTATTCATATCTATAGCTTCAATTACTACTCATATTCAGTTATTCCCAAATGAAACTACTTATATAGAGAGATATGGCTTATATCTCCAAGATAAGCTATGTTTTCTCCAGTCTTATCGTCTGTAATGCTGTCAATCATCTTCCTCTCCATCTCTGGCTAGCCTAAGCTTTAGAACACTAGCTTCCATTTTTTTTTTTTTTTGCCTGACCATTTCTCTTGGCCTTTATGACCACTGGTTATATCTTCACAATCTCTCAGAAATGCTTTCCCTCTCTTCATAACTACCCAAATGTAATACAAGTCCTCATTATTTTTTCTCAGTTAAATCATTAGTATGTTGCTTTAGTCTCAGTGTTCAATTTATCTTTTTATCTTGTGGATAGACTCATCGTTTTAAGAGATATATACATTATTTAAAAAACAAAATTGCTGTATCCCACGTCCTGGCCACAACATCAACGTTAATCGTCCATACTTGGAGGGAAGTGTGAAGATTAAGAAATGGCAGGTAGAAAAATTAAAGATACAAAAGAAAAGATAGAGACACAGGATAGAGTCAGGAGGGTAACTCAGTAAATGCTGAACCCGCCCATATTTATTTCTCATGAGCTTTAAATTTCCCAGTCCAAAAAACGAGGAGGAAGACAAAAGACGTCCTGTCAAGATACAAGGAACAAACAAAGGAATCACCTTCTCAAAGACCACAACATCAAGTAACCACACCCTAGGTCAGAACATCCTATTAGTAGCCACACCATGAGTCAAACTTCTTGTCAATAACTTTGAAGGGGCAAGAATAGGCCTGAACACTCAGACTTTTGGTCAAGGTGGAACCAGTCCACATTTGTGGACCCTGACACAAAAACGTACTTTCGTAACACCGGGCTTAAAATCTGGACTCTTCAATGGCAATAGAGTTCTTTATGTTCTCATCTTGGGTTTGGTGTTCCACTTAATCCCACCTTTCCAAAGACCTGGGCATTGCTTCTACTCTTGACTACAGTTCAACAATTCTAACTTGATAATTTTCTTATGATCATTCTGTCACTTTTGTGCCTCTGTACCTGCTAATATTTGTGTCTAGTGTATTCTGTGTTCCTCTGTCACCTGGCTTGTTCCTATTTATTCTTGATATTCAATTGAAATAAAATTCTAACCTTTTCCCCTTCTGACTTATGGTGACTTCTTTTGGGTAGCAGTTTGATTCTGTAATTACTGTTAATATATGAGAGCGTCCCACTAAACCGTGAACTGCTTGAGAGCAGTAATCATGATATTTACTGCCTTGTAATAAAGTATAAACTAATGAACCACATTACACACTCCTATGAGGTGGGTGAGATGGCTCAGTGGGTAAAGACACCTGCTGCTAAGCCTGATAACTTACGTTTGATAACTGCTTCCCACAATTGTCATCTGTCTTCCACATGTCTAAACACACACACACACACACAACAAATAAACAAAGCAAGATCAATCAACAAGTCCCTCATACTAACTTAAAGGATTATTTTATTCCCCTTTAACATAAACTAGGAAATTCTGTGCTTGGGAACTCTCAGGAGGTGTGTGTGTGTGTGTGTGTGTGTGTGTTTGTGTGCGCGTGTATGCTACTCAGGACAGCATGTTTATAATTGATGGAACAGGTGTTTCTGTCCATTTCTCTGCTCAGTTCCTTGGCAAGACAGTTTTTAAACACCTACCGTGCTCCTTCATGCATCTTTTTATTAGATATCTTACTGGATCTGGCAGATCTGTGCATACTTATGTAAATGAAAGATGAGGTGTATGCTAAGAGCTTTTGTAGGAAGGGTAGATGTTCGGACTTTGTATAACTTAATTATTACAGCAAGCCTCACAAGAACAGCAGGTTTTGTAGCATTAGGTGAAGTTATTCTCAACCTGTTTTATCTCATTTTTATCGTTTGGCTAGACCTCCAGTATAGTAACTCCACATTTTCCTCAACAAATTCTATTTAATATACTAAATATTTTAGTCATTTGATCAAGAATAACCTATCTAGGATTTGCATCCTAATGGACCAGGACTGAGTTGCTGTGCTTTTATGACTAGGAAAGAAAATGGATACTGAAATTCCTCATAAAGCAAGAGCTGTGCCTTGTTTTCTCACAACTAATCTGAGAAGGAAGCATATCTTCCCAAAGCAAAGTTTCCCTAGAAACTGTTATTCTAATCTAAAAGCAGCTACCTACCACCTTATCATGAGAAAACATTCTTTTAAAAATATGTCTATCCTGGTACGGCTTTAGGAATAGTTCATTGCTTTTTAAATGCACTTATAAAACGAATGGCTTCCGACATTAGCTCCATGTTAGTTGTCTATACGGATTGTATATTTGCTGTCTAAGATGGACAACTTCCTCGAAATATTTTCTTTTATAGATTTCTCCTTTGAGGGGGAAGGTTTGTCTGCCACCAGTTCAGGGTGTGAGGAGGTTGTGGTTCTATTGATGATTTTACTATACTAGCTAATCATAATGTAGAGATTCCACATCAGAGAATGCAGTTGATATATAGGTTTAAATAATTGTTGTTTTTTAATTGATGTACAGATTGATGTTTTCCCAGATGAGTGCCTGCCTCAATGAGCTAGTTGTTTTGTTTGTGAAGAATGCCCGTTGCTTTGTGACTGTCATTGTGACTACGTATCTCTTCACATACTGGACATCTTTTTCAAATGGATTTTTATTGCTTTGTGCCAGTTTGATTTATCTTTTGCTGTTGGCACATCAAACTCAATATATCCCAAACTGGATTCATTCCTTTCAAATCTCTTCTCCTTCTATGTTCTTAATTTCTCCTTTCTGTCAGTTTGATTTATCATTTAAAATTGGTCCTTCATATGTCAGTTTAACTGTATACCCCGTTTCAAACTCTACTAATGTGAATTTCTTAGAACCCTCTCCTGTATTTTGTACCTTAGTTATTGGCAGCACAGATAGTAATATAATTGTTTCTTTACCTAACTTGAAACTAGATTTTTGTCGTATTACTGTACCTTCATTATCATGCAGGCTTATGGTGTACATAATAAAATACTCAGTATTTTGAACAACCAACTAAATGTGTAATGTATAATACCAGTTATTTATTGTTGATTGTGCAGAATATTCTTATAAGGTGATCCATCATCCTGGCTGTATGGAACTATTCTAGTTTTTGCACTCTCAGTCCCATGTCTGGAGAAAACTCGGACAGTTGGAAATTCTGAGGAACATGTAAACATTAGTACAAAGCTACAAATAAAACAGGAGAGAACCTTTCTATGTGGAAATTAGCATTACAACTTTTTGTTTCTTTGTGTGTTTTCTTGTACTCATAACTCCATGTGTGTTCCAGCTCATTATTGGAAGAGACTGTGTGATTAATGTTGGATAACTTCAGTGTAGATTTAATGAATACCAGCTTTCTTTTTCATTGCTCATTTTTTATATACATAGTTTTAAACCACACATATTTGCTGTATACCCTAACATCGATAATATGAATAATGGGGATATTATGAAGTCCTGTTTCTCTTCTTATAATGAATTTATCAGTCTACCCAAATTTATGTTGTAGTATGATTGCTTGTTTCAGTGAAGTTTATTAGGCAATCAAGAGATATTTACTGAGTACTGTGTGCGAAAGCATTATCAATAACTTATTGTCAATTTGGTTTAAATTCTCTGCACTTTGATTGTTTCTCTAATTTTTTTTTTGGTTATAGGATTGAACCCAGGACCTAGGACCTTGTGCACTCTAGATAGGTATTCTATTGACATACATCTTTAGCACTGTCTATAACTTTGTATGTATATTTTTAAAAAGACAGTATTTGCCATTTTAAATTACAAAGCCTTGGTCTTCTGTAGATAAACTGTTTTATCAGCTAGGTCTCTTGTGATTAGAAGAGAAGAAAGCTGATGAAATGGCACCGTGGCTAAGGCGCTTGCTGTACAAGAATCGACGTCCAAGTTTTTATCCTCAGCGCCAGCCAGAATCCACCACAGAGGTGTGGTCCTGCAACCTTAGTGCAGCGCTAGGGTGGGGCTGGGAGCTGGGGTGACAGACTCACTGACAAGCTAGTTTTGTCAAACTTTGGAGATGTCTAGGCTCCTTGAGAGACCCTGCTTCAACAAACAAGCTGGACAGTGGCGGACAAAAACACCTGATACTGACCTCTGGCCCCATGCACTCAGGTCCAAGTCCACATGCCTGGACACACATATGCACATATGCACACAGATGGTAATTCTTATGCACATGCACACCTAAGAAAAGATAATTTTCTATTTTCTTGCTGTTTAAGATGTTCATTTCTATAGGGTCTTATATTTAATGGATATTCATAAAAATTGTGATCCTACATGAGAATTTTTAAAATGTTATAACTTGTACAAATAGCTGTTCATTCTGAAAATATAGTCTTAATCCTGAGGTACTCAATGATTATGTATATTCTGAGTATATTTTCTCAGCACTCTTTCTTATCTAATACTATGCATCAGTGGTGATTTTTTTATAGGTGGCTATGCACCATTTCTTTCTCTGAGTTCCAGAAAAACTGCTGATGTGGTTGCCTCTGACACTGAAAAAGATGCTCCAGGCCCAGCAGACTACTGTATATCACAAGCACAGGTGTGTTTACGATGTTATTGGCTGAGTTAATGTCAACCATGTTTTCTTAACCAGATTCACACATCCATAACCCCAGTACAGCAAGTTCAAGGCCAACCAAGGCTTAACAGTGGCACACATTTACAACCCAAGCATTGTAAATTCAAGGCTAATCTCAGGCTAAAACCCAATTAAAATCATCATACAAAAAACCCCATCAAAAACAAAACAATAAAAACTAACCCATATTTTTTGTATCAATAATATAAAGTGCCACTTGTATTTTATTCTCCCCTTTTTGAAATATTTTTTTATAATTCAAATAATGGAAAGTAAATGCATTTGACGTTGGTTGCTGATGTGTTCTTAATTATTCTATATATGCTATGATACAAAACATGGTTGTACATTTTAGTGGTCCGTAAGAATGGCAGAATTGGATTTTTGAATGAGTTTTGAAATCTGGGAATTGTAAAAATGGTCATGATATGTAGGCAGCAGTGGTATGCTTTTTGTGCTGTGTCTCACTTGTTTCATGTTTTTGTATAGCCTCATAGGTCTGTGGCTAAAATAACTTTCATGGTACTATTAATACTCAGAAATAATGTATATTCTGAAGATACTGCTGTATTTTCTTACAATGAATACAGTTTTTTAACATTTGGAATTTTACTGGAATGAACTTCCATTAGTCTGTTGGTAATTTTTTGGATCTGGAGAATACAGAGTTGTAGTATGACAAGTCATGGAAGATTCTTTCTAGTATGTTCTATGAATAAGCAGTTCTTCAGACTAAGATGAGCAGAAAGCTGTCATCTAATAAGCCTGTGTATTGTTCTCTGTAAATAACCAATATGTGATACTGTTCTGCATTGAAATGCCATGACAGGAAACAACTTGGGGAAGAAAGGACTTACTTGATTGACACCTAAACACCAGTGTTCATCACTGAAGGAAGTCAGGGATCAAAAGCTAATGCTTGGAAGAGTGCTGCTCCCTCATGGTTTACTCTGCCTGCATTCTTATAGAATCCAGGGCCACCATCTTAGGGGTATTCCCTCCCACCATGAACAGGGTCCTCCTATATCAATCACTAATTAAGAAAATGTCCAAGGATTTCCTTCTTCTCAGCTTTTGTCAAGTTCATATAAAACTATCTAGCACAATTGACTCCTTAGCATACAAACATATCACCATTAGGTCACACCCTTTCCTTTCTTGTTCTCTCCCAAAACCATGCATTAACATCAGTATCACATTATATACTGTTTTGAAAACTAACCAAGTCTCAGTCATTACAAATCCAAACATTTTTAAATTATTCTTTTTAAAAATCTGAAGTCTCTGTAAAATCCCAAACTCCCCTTAAAATTTCAGTCTTATAACTGTGGATTCTTGTAAAATCAAAATCAGTTGAATAATTGTTTCATGAGGGAAGAACACGGGCACAGTCATAACATGAACAAAGCAAAACCAAAGTCCAACAGTGTAAATCTCAGTATCTGATTTCTGGGATCTAAAACCAAAGTCCAACGGTGTAAATCTCAGTATCTGACTTCTGGGATCCAAAACCAAAGTCCAATGGTGTAAATCTCAGTATCTGACTTCTGGAATCCAAAACAATGCTTTGGTCTTCTCCAAAGGGCCCACCCTCTACAGCCTACACAGCTTGTCTTCTAGACTCAGCCTGGCTTTACACCTAGGGAATGCTGTCCTTGGTGTTCATCCTGTGGCCCTGGAGTCTCCAGAATATCGGGGTCTTCTGCTGCAATTGGGCTGCCATTCACTAAAACAAAATATCACAACGTTTTCCTCTTTTTGTCTAAAATAAAAAAGAGGATTATAATTAATATAAGAAAAACTATATACAATAAGTACATATATAATATAACTATATATGATAACTATATGCAGTGTGTACAGACAATGAGTACAGCAACAATGACTAGTCCATTTGCATTTGACAATTTCAGAGAAAATACTCCATTATCTATCCTATGTTGGTGAGTCCAAAGTGTAGTGATATTTTGTTTGTTTTAACTAATCAAGCTTCCTGAAGATAAGAGTGCAGAGCTAAGTCACTAGAGGCCAGGCAGTGGTAGCACACACTTTTAATCCCAGGACTTTGGAGTCAGATGGTTAGTTCAAGGCCATCCAGACTACACAAAATTGATACAGTCTAAAATAGAAAACAGAAGCTCATACAAAGATAATTCCAGTACCTGGGATCATATGTCTTTAATCCCAGCACTAGGGAGGTGGAGACAGTAGTGATATGGCTGGGCAGAGAGAAATATAAGGTAGAAGGAGACAGGAGTTCAATGCAGTCTGAGGACCAGTGCAGTCTGAGGCAGTCAGTCTGAGAGGATGCAGTCTGAGGATGTACTCTGAGGACAGGATCACCCCTTTGGTCTCAGCATTGGTAGAGGTAAGAACTCTCTAATGACTGGTCACTCTGCTTCTCTGATCTTTAGCATTAACACCTATATCTAACTCTGGTTTTTTATTATAGATAACAATTAGAATTTGTGCTACATCTGTCGCACAACTTTTGAGGTACACATTCATGAGAAAGCCCTTTTCCCGTGGCTTTGCAGCCACCCGCAAAAGCTGGAGGCACACGTGGCCAGAGTTCTTGCGTTACTGGCTAGGTTTTCCTTTCTTCTCTCTTTTTGGGCTTTCCCTGGACCCCCTTCTCTGGCTGCTGCTAAACTAGGTCACCGCCTTGAAATTCAGTCAGGCATTTACTGTTCTATGCAGCAGCAATAATCCTCACATCTTCATCTTCATTGTCGGAAGATTTAGCGAGGAAACTGGGAATTCTTAAAGGGAGGAATTAGTTAAAAGAGTAATTTCCTCTGTTAAAAAATGGAAAACAATTATGACAGAGAAAGTTAGATCTCTGTATGATTGTGCAATGCTTGCACTTCCTGCTTGCTCAGGTCTTGGGTCTCTGAGGGTGTTGAAGATTAGGTATTTGTAGTTTTCCTTGTTTACTAGATGCAGAAAATAAATTCACTAAAAAATGTAATGTATATAAAGTTGAGAGACATAAAAACATAATTTTGAGTTGAACTGGTAATGCAATTTAGAATAGAGAGTAGTCCACTAGTAGATGAGGACTGCATCCTCAGACTGCTTTGAGCTCCTATCTCCTTTTACTTTATATTCCTCTTTCCGTCCAGCCATATCACTCCTGTCTCCACCTCTGTAGTGCTGGGATTAAAGGTGTGTGATCACAGGTGTTGGGATCACCTTTGTATGAGCTCTGTTTTCTCTTTTAGATGGATCATTGTAGTCCAAGGTGGCCTTGAACTAACAGAGATCTCTCTGCCTGGGATTAAAGGTGTGTGCCACCACTACCTGGCCTCTAATGGCTTAGCTCTGCACTCTGATCTTCAGGAAGCTTTATTTTTTTAAATACAAACAAAATATCACCACGGAAAGGGTTTGTTTGACTTACATTTACACATCACTGTTCATCTTTGAAGGACAGACCCTGGTGACTGGAATTGATGCTGAGGCCGTTGAGGAGTGCCGCTACTGGCTTAGCCCTTATGACTTGCTCAATCCTATTTTCTTATAGAATCCAGGACCACCAGTTTAGAGATTTTTCTGCTGACCCCAATGGGCTGGGCCCTCCCCCATCAATCACTAATAAGAAAATGCCCAATAGGTTTGCCTACAGCCATTTCTTATGGAGGCATTTTCTCATTTAAGGTTCTTTCTCTTCAGTGACTGGCTTTTATCAAGTTAACATAAAACTGTCAGCACAGAAGGCCTGACTTGTTGCTGAAATAGTCTGAAAACTCAGTTCATAAGTGCCTGTTTTTCCACTGATCTGCAGCACAGTCTGTTTTGACCCTCCTTGGGAGGTTGGGAATTCCTGTCTTTGATTCCTTTATTGTACTACCTTAGAACACCCTAAAGTACAGTAAAGTTTGGTCTGAGATTGGAGTCAAAACTTATAACTATAATTGTTATCTCAGTTATTCTTTTAGAAAAGCTTTTCAGTTGAGGGTCTTAACTTTCTCAGGTTCTATTTTAAAATTGTTGGTTAATATTTTATATTTACAAAATAGGAATTATTAAGTACTTCTTGAATTACTTCATAAGTTTCAACCTTCAATTTAGTATAAAATAAAAGGAGGCCGTAGTCTGCAAAACCGAGAGAAACGATTTAAGAAGCTTACTTCAGATGGTCCAGGACCTGCAAGCTACGTTCGACCTTATCCTGGGACTTTGTACACCACGAGCAGACAGGTACTCCACGCTAAAGAACATCTGCACTTTTTAGTTATGCTTCTAATGGCAGTGCTTTTGGATAACATAAAAAAGAAACCCTAAGCTGTTTGTTTGATGTTGAAAAAGAAAAACAATCCTTATTATAAAGCTTGGTATATTCTTATTATTCATATTGCACTTATTTTATAATTAAATGAATATTAAATATTTATTATAAACTCTAGTTTAAACTGTATTAACATCATACTTCATTCTTTAGTCTTTTTTTTATGGTTGGGGTTTGGACCCAGGGCTTCGTGTGTGCTAGATAATTAATTCAATATTGAGCTACATCATTGAGTTCTTTTCTTATTCTTGACTATTCTGTAACCACAGTGCATGCGGTGACCAGGAAGAAGACAGGTTTAAAGCCTGGTTATCTATCTAGTTTACTTCTTTTAGTGACTGTGTGCAAATACCTGTTAACAATGCAATGATATTAGCATGATTCCTGGGCTGAAGGTGTCACCTGGTATTGGAGGGCATTTGCCTAGCCTGTGTGAGGCCCTGAGTTCTTTCTCTAGAACCACACAGAACAAAAACATGGTTCCTTGAAGGAAGAAAGCTGAAAATTGAGATGGGGGACAGAGATAGTTGCTATTTCAAGACAAGATTTCAAAAGCGACAGATGAGTGATCATGCACCGAAATGCATAGGGACGTAAAGGCTGCCGCCTGCTAGAAGACAAGGAGGACGGTGAGTTTGGAGATGGGCCTTGAGAGTGCAGAGGGACGTGTGTTCTGGGAACGGAGTGCTTTATGACTGACACAGAATTGTTTTCTATGGAAGGCAAAAGGAAGATTATTTTATTTGAAGTGAAGAATTTCTGTAAGAGAGTCATAGATACTGCATTTGGAAAAATAAATTTATGTTATAGAATCAGTTATTTTTACACCAAAGACATACACTGGTGAAATAAATAACATTATTTAATGTGGGCTTGGTCATGTTTTTATTAAGAGGGATTATATTTTTATCCCAAGTATTTCACATAGATCAAACTAATCATATTTTCAACAGTTCTGAGAAAAGAGCCCTTGTATTTTAGTATTAAAGTCTTAGTTGAATAGTGTCAGTGCAGAGGTGAGACTGAGTTTTCTTCATGTGTAAGGACAAGATAAATGTTCATTTACTGATTGTCAAACATTGCTGAATGACCATGTCTGTCACTTAATCAACATAATGCTAGACATTCTTTTTTACATAGAAGGCAAATCACAAGAAGCACAATTTTAGCAGGGGGCAAAATTTGGGACAGTATATTTGATGAAATACTACTTTAGAGCTGTAATAAAAGGTTCACCAATATCCCAAAGTGAAAGAGTCTTTGGAGGAGTAGGAGAAATGATTTCATTTGGTCTTAAAGAAGAATTCCCATGGTGGCTAGAAACACTGTCGTGATGGAACAGCTCGCGGGTCACAGACTGCAGTGTGTATTGGCAGGGTAGGCTGGGGGAAGTGCAGCGTTCTGTGGACTGTTGGAAGTACAAGATCTGAGGAGATGAACATGGACAGAAGCTCCAGGAAGGAAATGCTATTGTTTTTGAAACCTTTGATGTGTCGTTTCTGAGAGTACGGAATAGAAGGAAGGCTGTTTAATGCATTCTTGTTTTAATTCTGTAATTATTTTTTAAAAACCACTGAAGCCACTTAGCTGACATCTTCATTTCTAGCATTTCTAGCAGTGCAACTTTTCTATAGCAAGTTGTGTGTGCATGTGTGCATACACCATGGCATTCATTTGCTTGTCCAGAAAATACAGCGAGCAGCATAAGCTCATGTTATGTTTATCTACACAACTAAATCTCTTAAATGTCCATGTTTTGTTTGATATATACTTAAAAAAAGTATTTATCCTTGTACTTCTATTTATTTTCCATGGAAGTAAAACTTTTTTAAAAAAGCTCCCACCTAATATTAAGATTGTCAGTTTTGCCATAGTCCTTTCAGAATTAAAGCCTACATTTTATCATTTATTACATATTTACACCTGATGCACACCATAGGTATAAATGGACTTGATTCATTTCCATCCACTTTAGCATTATCTCATAGACATTTTTCTGCATTGTAGCCTTGCAGTTAGCACATGTGTACAAGTTGCAGGTCATACGAAGACAGTCAAGAGTTGCAGGAAATGAAGGCTGGAAATCTTACTAAAGGAACTAAAGGAAGGAACTTAGGATTGTTCTGTATATACTCTCATAGTATCTGATGTTGCTGCAGCAATGCCTTGTGTTATTTATTATTTTTAAAATCAGTACTATTTGCTTTTGAGAGATAAGTAGCTGACCAAGTTAAGAGTAAATCCTTAGCCAGGTGGTGTGGTGCATGCCTTTGATCCCAGCACTCAGGAGGCAGAGGCAGGTGGATCTCTGTGAGTTCAAGGTCAACCTGGTCTACAGAGCGAGTTCCAGGACAGCTAGCACTGTTACACAGAGAAACCCTGTCTTGAAATACCAAAAGCAAATCAACCCAACCCAACCCAAACCAAACCAAACCAAAAAACAACAAAAAAGTAAATCCTTGGATCTTTTGGTGACTTTAACAGTGCCTATGACTTTAGATGTGCTAAAGTTTGAATGCACTCCTTCAATAAGACATTTTTTTGATCAATATTATGTAGTTCATTAAGTCGATATTTAATGATTGCCTTTAGTAAATTATAATATTTTGTTCTTATTGTTTCTTCTTGTCTCTGAATAACATAAAATGTCTTCCTCACGAACATTTTATGTTTAAAGAAAATTTCTAGAACACCTGCAGTTTCCAGGAGCATTGATATTCCTTCAATTCCCTCTGCTGGAAAGTCACACGGCTATCATCTCAATGACGATGACAGTATCAGGAAGCGCACACCACCTGCCAGTGATGACACAATAGGCCCAGCGTACTACAAGCCGCAGTTTGTAAGTGAGGACACTGGGACCACTGCTTACTGTTGTACGTTCCATTCGTGCGACAGCAACTGTTAAGTGACAATCAGAACACTGATTTTCAGTGGCTGTGTACTGCAGAGTTTCTCTTCCTATATGTGTGCTGCCTCTGGCTGGCAGAAGAGAAAAGAGAAAATGGATGAAAGCTTTTTAGGCTAGGGTTGGGAGCTAGAGCTCAATGGATGGCCAGTCTTAGCCACCTGGAAATCTGGGGTGTGTAATCTGACTCCACATTCAGTAAAAAGGAACAGTGGCAACTACTAGAAGTTTCATCCTCTGTGTACGGATGAAATGCAGACTTTCTCCCTGCTTTTAGAGATGGTCTTGGACACTTTATTTATAAAAGTTTGATTTGAGAATGTGTTAATCATTTTCATTACAGATTAGTATGAAAAGAAAAAGGAGCTTCTCTGATTGAAATACCAAACATAGTTTATCAGGTCCATCTTTGGAGATCTTAACTTTCAATACAGTAAGCTGTCAAAATTTCATTCAGCCAGTTGAAGTACATGATTTGTTCATAAATACATATAATGAATATAAATAGTAAGTATGGTTTTACTCAATGACAAGGCAGAAGTACATAGTACTTTGATACTACTGTATTTTTATGCATTTATTGACTCTGGGAGAAGGAATCACAGTGAGGAAAATGATAGAAATCAAGGCTAGACCTGAGGACAGAATCAACCTTTTCATGATTTTACTATTTGCGCTTCCAATACACTATTCATTTACTAGGATCAAGTACTTCAGAATCTATCTCGTTTGTGAACAGCCACTTACTGGGAAGTTTGAGGGTATTAGATGCTTTGAATTGTTAAAAACTTTAAAACATTTCATTGTAATTTATTATTGTCAAACACATACTACAGCAGTAAGGATGGATATTAATGCAGCCATCATCTAGATATAACACATGCTACAGCTTTGGCAGGAGTTGTCAGTGGGTTACAGAACGAAATAACATGCCTGCCCAGTTATCACAGGACTGATGGTGTCAAGTAATGGTCTTATCTTCTAATTTTGTTTCTTATAAACTTACTATTTTTCCCTTTTGAATTTATAGGTATTTTTGGAGAGGTACTTTAAGTCTGTGTAGTTACCCTATTTCTTGTCAAACTGTCATTGGGCATTCTTCATCTACTGGTTTTATCATCTACTAATGATATTTGAATGTTTTAGTGTGATACTTATCAAGTGTTGGCTTTCTGTCTTCATCTTCTCTATAATGTCTGTTTTGGGCAATTTTAAAATATTTTAAAAGAGAATTTTAGGTTCATTCTCATTTTTGTACTTATATCAGATTCATGCATTTCTGGTTTCCTTAAAATATTATAATTTATTACTTTCATTGTATATTTTGAACCTTAACTTATCTCATATTTTATTCTGGGAAGCCCCTATACTCTGCTACTTACCAGAATCTTTGGAATGTACCTAAGTGCGGGGGGCCATCCTGTCCAGCAGGAATGAACGCCACCAAAAACGAGAATTTCTTCCCTGGTCACGTCTTTATTTGGAGCATTCCCTTGAGGAAAATTGGGGGAAGGGAAGATAGAGCAGGGACGAGAGAAAGCTTAGAGAGAGCGTTGGGCCCCGAGGCAGCTGCTTTTAAACGGTGGAGCGGCTTGAACGCTGTCCTGATTGGTTAATGCCATTCTGCTGGTCTGAGCATGTGCAAGCAAGGGTGCTCAGCCCCACGTGGCTACCTCCAAACTGCAGGACCACCTGTGCCTCCAGGTGGCTCCAAACACCTAAGATCCCCCTAAGAAGAAAGCTTATGGCTATGAGTGTTTATATTAAAAATTCTGGGTGCCAGTGAAATGGTTAGGTGAAAGATTCCCGATTTGGGTGTTTTCCCCTCGGGGACGACAACGCCCAAGAACCAAGACTAGTCCGCACTCGATGCAAAAGCAAGAGGTATTTTTATTCACACAGGTGCCTGGCGGACGCTACAGCCTTCGGGTGACTGCGCGTGCCGGGCTAAATTCGGGGCTGGTTATATAGCGAGAAGCGAGCTTACAGAAGCGGAAGCATTCTCAATGGTTATTTCAGATGACGATGGGAAGCGGGCTTACAGAAGCAGATACATTCTCAATAGTTATTTCAGATAAAATGGTGGGGTTAGGTCAGGGACGGGTTGTCTTCTATTCATCTTGAATACATGGGAATAAGTTAAGGCAGCCCACTCTGGGTTTTCTGAGTACATGGGAATAAGTTAAGGCAGCCCACTCTGGGTTTCCTGAGTACATGGGAATAAGTTAAGGTAGCCCACGCTGGGCTTCCTGCTCCCTTTTTGTCTTCCTTTCGACTGAAGGCTGACTTCCAGATGTCTGACTACAGATATCCTGTTTTCTCATCATCAGGGACCCATCTGGTCTCAGGGTGACAGATATCCTGTTTTCTCAGTAGGGGCCCATCTGACCTCAGGGCAATTATGCTGGCCTGGGAACAGCTTGACCTGGTTTGGACTATAGCTTCAATGGGAATTCCCTGAGGCAGGCGGGCGGGGGTCTTTCATAGGTAGTTAAAGGTGCTTCACACTAAGCATGGAAAGCTGAATTAATTCCATAGATCCTACCTGGCAGAAGGAAAGAACCAATTGCTGAATGTTTTTTTTTCTTATCTCCACATGCACCATGGCATACATATAAATATAAATAAATGAAAATGAAATAAAATAAAAGATCTTAAATAAATAGCCCAATTTAACCAAAAGAAAGTGAAAGAAAAGATTTCGATTAAATAGACTGGAGACAAGAGAGCTGTAGGGATGACTCAGTGGTTAAGAGAGGTCTTACTGCCTTTCTAGAGCTTCCTAAAACAATTGCCATCATCAGGTAGCTCAGGGTCACCTGTAACCGTAGCTGTAGGGAATCTAACTCCCATTTATAGCCTCAGTGGGCACATATGTGGCTGGTACACACACACACACACACACACACACACACACGAATACATGCATGCACATGCATAAAATAATAGCTAAATAGGATTAGAGATGGAAAAGAGAATGTAACCAGTTTCTCATGAAATCAGGACAATCACTAGAAGGTACTCTGAAAATTTACATTATTGCCTCTGGGGGCCATATTGTGAATGACCTGCACTGCCACCTGAGGCCAAGTTGATGTCTGTGGTTCAGGCTACTTCTGAAGGCCTTGTCTGGGTCTATGTTCCTACTACAGCCAGGTTCTGTGCTGTTGACAGAAATCATATGGAAGCCCATGACTTGTGTTCCCATTTGTTTACTGTAAAGAGCAAGGAAGCTACTTTTTCAGTGATATCAATAATTGCAGTCACACAGTTGAGAGGGAGGGACATGGAAGGCTTTTGTGACAAACCCTAACTCCCCTGCAAAAGGGTAACAGCCTAAATAAGATTCCCAAAGAATCAATTAAAGGAAACCACAGAAGAAATAAGTTCCTAGACCCATGTGATCTAGCAAAATTAAATCAAAAAGATATAAACAAACTAGAAGACCTATGATAGTGTGGTGGTTTGAATAGATATGACCCCCATAAACTTATATTTGAATACTTGGATTATCAGGACTGGCACTCTTAGGAGAAGTGACCTGTTGGAGTATGGCCTTGTTGAAGGAAGTATGTCACTGTGGGGGTTGGCTTTGAGGTTTCATGTGCTCAAGCATTGCCCAGTGTGGAAGACAGTTAACTTCCTGTTGCCTGTGGATCAAGATGGAGAACTCTCCAGCACCATGCCTGCCTGCTGCCTTACTTTCTGCCATGGTGATAATAGACTAAACTGTTGTCTATAAAAACCGTTTGTTTTTAATTGTTGCTGCTTTTTAAGCTATGGCTGTCCTAGTCAGCAACTGCAGTTCTGCTGCTTCCAGCAATGGTTAGGCTGCTAGAGCCAGGGCTTGAGGAAATTCTATTCCCTCAGGCACCCACTCTTTCAGTGCTACAAAGGGAACCTTTTAAAATTTCTGTCTCTCTAAAGAACTCAGTATTCAAAGGTTGAGGTAGAATCCTGCTCTCCAGAGAGGCTGAATAGCAAGAAGCTTGCCTACCTCACCTCCTTGCTTGTCTCAAGAAGTTCTCATGCTTTTCGTGGCCCCTTCTTAAAAGCCCTTTTACACCTGGCTCCTCCCTACAACTACCTGTCATCTAGGTAGTTGATGACTCCAGCCTTCTGACTGCAGGTAAATTTTATTTAATCAAACACATCTTTGCATCATTAAACAATTGTTCCAGAGCATAAACAAAAGTAATATACTTTAAAATAATATTCTACTTCACTAAACCTCTGAGACTTGTAAGGCAGCCCCAATTAAATGGCTTCCTTTATAAAAGTTGCTGTGAACATGGTGTCTTTTCATGGGAACAGAAACCCTAACTAAGACAGACAGTAAGTAAGGTTTAAAACACCATCATCATCAACAACAAAAAAATACACTTCCCCAACCCCTCAACCAAGAAAAGTCAGGGTTCAGATGTGTTCCCTGCTGAATCTTGCTAACCGTTCCTGGAAGACAGAATATTTCTCCAAGTCCTCTATAAAATAAAAAGAAAGAACACGACCAAGTAAAGGATATCTATGACAAAATGCCTGTATATAACATTGTGCTAACTGGAGAAGTGGAAAAAAATCCAAAAAAAACCATAGTTGCTAAATCTGGACCCAACCTCAGGCTAAATCTGAGGTCAGTCTGATCCTCAGGCACATAGTGTCCTCACAGGAACATTTGCAAACCTGCATTGTTCTGCTTTTTCTGACACCACAAGGCCTTCTACTCCCTGCTCAAACAGAAACACCATAGTACAAATCTGTGCCCTAGGCTCAATAAAAGTTTACAGTCTGTCATATGTGCTAACAGCCGCCACAGCTGTGTCCACCGGATCTACCAAACTTGTGGATTTTACCTTACAAACCCTTGCTTACTCAGCTCAGGGTCACCTCTTTTGACTGGGTGTCACAAGAGTGTATGCCCCAGGTCGATTCTGTCC